TGAATACAGGGAGGTGGGGGAGGGGACTACTTGACTCAGCATCTCCCAGACTCTCTCTCCCTTCCTCCATCTCCCAGCATGGTCACAGCTCCCATGGCATCCAGTTCACAGCTGGGGAATGAAGCCTCTGGCCTCTACCTTCTCCTCCCGATCTCTTTTGCTCATCGGTGGGGGTGCAGGCAGTCAGTTCAAAACTCACCAGCCTCCTTCTCTGGTCAGATCTGCTGTATGCGTCTATTCCCGAGCAGCTGGCTCGAGGTGAGGGGTGGGTTGTCTGGGGTTCCTCATCTGCTATTTCCCTCCGGGGCTTGTGCACTGGGGGCTGTCCTCTCTGGGTTCATGGGAGCAGCCCCAAAGTAATGTAGAGATCATCCCTGGTCTTAAGACGCAGGTCTGCTGCTCTGGAGAGGCTACCCTGGAGCACTTGTCTGCCCAGGCTTTATACTGGCTGCTCAGTCCCTCTACAGACTGCTGTTACTGCTGCACACAGGGTTAGGAAAGACAGCTCCCTCCCCATCAAGTAGCACAGTCTCTGGATCCTAGGTCCTGGTGGTGGGGCCTTGCAGTCTAGCCTGATGCCAGGTGCCGAGTGGTGGCCACTTCCCGTTGCTTCTCTAGGAGGACCTTCCCATGGGAGATGCCAGAATCTGAGGGGCAACAGTAGTGTTCACACTGGGGGGACAGTCCCCATCGTCAGTTCTCAATTCCCCCTCAGACACCTGGGCACCCAGTTATACTCCCATCCATATACTCTCTTGCCGTCTCACACAGATACTTGCACACTCACAATGACTCCTCCACCATCTTTCCGGCAGTCTTCTGTTCGTTTTGCTTTTTTGTAGAGACAGGGTCTTGCGATGTTGTCCAGGCTGGTCTCAAAACTCCTGGTCTCAAATGATCCTCCCACTTCAGCCTCCCAAAGTGCTGAAATTGCAGGCATGAGCCAGGGAACCTGGCCAACCTTCTTTGACTACCTCCTCTAGCCACACTACCCTGCCTTGTTTCAGGAAAGCATCATATCTTTACTGGATTACAGCAGCAGCTCCCCACTGTCTTGCTCTTCCTCAAGTCAAAGGGCGCAGCTAGTCTTCTGTCAGTTGTGCATCTCATGGTTCTCCTGCTTCAAGCCCCTCCACGGCTTCCCACTGCTCTCAGCATAAAACCCAATCCGCCTAACACATCTCGCTTGCCCTCCATAACCTGGCCACTCTCCAAGGTCATTTCTAGTCCCCCACCACCACCTGCCCATACCACCACCTTCCACTCCCACACAAACGCTCCCCTGAACTAATCTTGAACATTTCAAACATTTCTACTATGTTCTTTCCAGATTCAAGACTCTGTTCCTCCTGACCCTTTACCCTTTCCTTGCTTGACTCGCCAGGTGAATTCCTGTTCTCTCTGCAGGTTAGTTCACAAAAGACGCCTCCTAGGAAGCCTTCCTAATCCTTCCATGTCTTTGGGGGTCCATAAGGAATGCTCTCTTTCTAGTCTGTTTTCCTACCTTCATAATACATTTTAAAAATATCTGTTCGTGTATCTTTTCTCTTTTAGACCAACGGTTCTTATATTTTGTTAGAACATAGTTACCTTGGAGATATGACAAAAGCTATAGGCTTCTGCCCACAAAAGCACAGATATGCACTACATTTTTCATGGATCCCATATTAGAATGCCAGAGACCTTGATAGAAACTAAAAAAAAAAAAAAAGTACTGAATGCTTAGCCACGTTTACTGGAACTAATACACACAAACATATAAAACACTGTGGAGAAACACAGTTTCAATTTTATAGCCCTCAAATTACTAGAAGGAAACAAAAGGTGGAACAGTAATTCAAGTCCTCAGTAAATAATGTGAAAACTAATCCAATCTTAGACTAACTCTGCATCCTGGAACAATTCCATTTATTGGTGTATAAGCACTGGCACTGCCTTTCTTAAAAAAAATTTTTTTTTCAAGAAAACCCATTTGCTGGGTTGATAGCCATGCAATGGTTTGTCACCATAAAAAATGTTATAACCAAACATTTAAAATTTAAATAATTTAGAGTAACTTAAAACCAAAAATCGTAAGTTTGGTTTTTCACAAAATACACCAAACATCAAGAAAGAAAGAAGTGGCACTTTCATCTGACATTGGCTGAGTTCCTATTTTGATTGTTTATGATCATGCCAGGTGCTTGGGGAGAATGGGGTGAAAGGAACATGCTCACGCCCCACTAGTGTGCTGTCCACACCCAAACAAATATAACGCACAGATTCACACTACATTTGTTGTACTTTTGTGAGTACAGATAAGTCTTCTCGATCCCCATGTCCAGTGCCTGTGCTCTAAAGAAATGCAGCTGACATCTGTTCTCCCTTCTCCATGTCCAAGATCACTGGCCCTAATTCAAATGTTCATGAAATCTTGCTTAAATTATTCCCACGGCCATACCTCCCTGCTAGCCTTGCTTTCCTACATCTACAAACTATCTTCTAAACCACTGCTAGAGTATCTTTCTTTAAAAAAGGAAAAAGAGCCGGGCTCGGTGGCTCAGTTTGTAATCCCGCGCCTTTGGGAGGCTGAGGTGAGTGGATTGTCTGATCCTGCGGGTTCGAGACCCGCCTGGGCCT